ACTATTTCTTTTTCTTTTCTTTCGATATGGAACCCTAAATTTACTTCAACATCATCTACCATCTATTCTCAAAATTGTGTATAAATGTATTCTTTACTCTATCATCAAGGGTTTGTCAGTTTGACACTGAGCCACATACATTTGGATATCGATCTAACAATATGTTGGAGGAATTATAACCTTCTTAACTTGGATCTCCAACTTTGGCTTATCAGTGGATAGAATAGAAGTGGTGGTCTATGAAATCGATTTCAAGAGTTGAGAAGGTAATATAAGACCATTTCCAATGGAAATCCAAACTAAGCCAAATTTGAGTAAAAAAATGGATAAAAAGTTTGATTTGATATAAAACACTCTAATGGAGAAATTCAAAGATATAAGAGGACAAACCCAAATTTAAGTGAAAACAAACTTAAATTTAAAAGAGGACAAAATATGCCCATTAAATCTTTAAATGTGGATGAGATCTAACAATTGATGATTTGAGTAAAAATTTGAGTTTTCTTTGATTTGAATAAAATTTTGAGTCTTCCTTGCTTTGGTAAGAGTTTAGATATAACATTAGAGAATATTTTTATGTATGTTTTACTAAAATTTAAATTTAAGTTTAAAAAAAGATAAGGATTGAAGATGCTGAAAGAAACTCTCAATAGTTGACAGGTAAAATAAGATCGGGGTCAAGGTGTAAATTTTTTTTGAACCGAGGTGAAGGCGTAATTCACCCATAGTAATAATAGAAGAAATTAGGTCTGCCGTGATGGGTGGGCAGTGGACTGACTTGTGCATTTCAAAATCAAACTGAGTAGTCATGATGATTTTGAATGCTTGACTCGTAAACTATCCAAAAGCTGCGGCCCTCTATTTAATTTGACACCACTTTGCCATGAAAACATAAAAAAAGAAGTATATCAGAATCTCTCGAATTTATGGACATTAATGAAAAAGATATGTGAGGTTCTTTGCCAATTTGTTTTAATCCTTCGGCAATTGTTCATGTCCATCTGAATAAAAATAGATTGAATGGTCCATTGACTCATGCATTCTACAACATCTCTTCTTTGGTGACGTTAGACCTTGTGATTGCAAGTTAAATGGTAAAAATCCAGGTTGAATAGGGAACCTTTCTGAATTGAGTTTAATCTTCTTGAAAGCTAACAATTTTGAAGTTAACATTCCTACTGAACTATGCTACTTAAAACAAACAATCTCAGTTGAACTTAAGTAAAATACCCAAAAATTGGGGAACTTAAGTGAGCTTCATTCCTTAAGTTTGTCCCATAACAATCTCACTGAATCAATTCCAACAATATTCTCCAACCTAAGGCAAATTGAGAGTCTAGCTCTTTCCTATCACAACCTGACGTCCAACAATATTCTCCAACCTAAGGCAAATTGAGAGTCTAGATTTGTGTTGGTATTTAAACCCACAGACAAACACACACAATCGAAGAAAAAATCAAGAACATAAAACAATAAGAAACAAGAAAGAAATAGACACACAGATTTTACGCGGTTTGACAATTTACCTGCGTCTACGAAACTGTAGAAATTTCACTATTGAAATAGAAGAATACAGAGGGCAGCTATACAATTCCAATGAAACCCAAAACACAAAAGTAGCAGTTTTATATGTTCTACGCACCGGGTTATAAAACAAGCCCAAAAAATTTTCTTGGGGTGCGTTGCCCCCAGACCCCCAGTACCAAGTCTTCACTCCATGGATCAAGTCTTAGAAAATTTTTTATTGAAAGTCACGCAACATTATTTTCGGTCGGGTCATCATCCGGATCAACACACAAATTAGACTCCACAAAGACCTAACAATCTGTCCTATAACATCTGACTGGGAGTATCCCCACTGAAATGACTCAGTTGAACTCTATGGCGGCCTTCAGTATAGCACACAACAACTTATTAGATAAAACTCCAAATTTGAAAGCTCAGTTTGCTACCTTTAATGAGAGCAGCTACGAGAAAAATCCTTTTCTCTGTGGACCTCCATCACATAACAAATGCGTCGACACTGGAGCTCCTTCACCAATGCAAAAGGCTTCAAAGGACGTACATCATGATTATGGGTTCATTGATATGGATGTTTTTCATTTAAGTTTTTCAATGTGGTACATTATGGTGTTGTTAGAAACTATAGCAGTTCTTTATGTGAACCCTCACTGGCGAAGGGCACGGTTCAATTTCGTTGAAATGTGTGTAACCCCTATCTACTATTTTGTTATTGACAATTTTCGTAAGTTGTTCAATTGCAAGATTGTATAATTCTTTAGCTAGATTACTAGATGTTTCGATGTAAGCTCGCTTTTAATATAATATTCCAATAGTAAATATTTTCGTTAGTTGCATAACCCTTGTTGAGATTAATTTTAATATACAATATTATGCTCTACCTTATAGACATTGGACGATATTAAATTGTGAGTATATACTGACTTAAAATTCTGTACTTGTATTCAAGGGTTGTGTAATATTATCAAGAAATAATTAATTGAATAGCAATATTATATGGATTTAAAAAATAGATTTAAAAATTATACTTGATAATTACAACTATAGATTTTACTGTGGGTCTTAATTGAATTTATGGTACATGTAATTGAATTTTGTCCCAATTCTGTATCTCTTAACCTTCCCATGTGAATTTGACAATTTAAAGATTTTTAAGTGAGATTATCTTCGAATGGATATGGGAAAACAGCCTTGCGCGTGTGTTTGAGACGGTCAATGATAAATAAAAAATCTCATTAACAATGATGAATAACTATTGCTGGCAGTGACAGAACTAAGCAATGAAATCCGCTTATGGATACAATGCCTCAGCAATAAGGAACATTAAGATCAAGTTGGTTTGTAGATTTGAATTTAAATTCATAACCATTCAATCTACTTTATGCATCTTCGTTGAAGATCAGAGAATACTATGAAGAATTTCTAGTACCATGTTTATTTTTTATGACAGAGAATGTGTTATTTGGACTTGTGCTTCCAAATTAAACTTGACACAAGCACCTACAAATTAGGTGCATCTGTTCAATCAAGGTTTTTTTTTTATGAGACTTGAACTTAGGATTTCTAGTTATTAACCACAGAAGCCATGCCGTAGGTGCCATCTTGATGTTTAAGTATCATGTTGATCCATGGATGGCCATGTTGGTTTCATTCAAAATGAATGTTCTTTTCACTAAAATTTGATGTTGGGCATAAAATGGATCTCAACTCAAGCATGCCATGGATTCAGCATGCTGGTAGGAGAAAACAATAATAATTATTGCATTATTGAATGTGACTCCGTCGTGCTATGAAATTAGTGAACTAATTATTGCATTATTAAGTCGAATAGAATAATAATTAGCTTTAATGCAAATCAACCTAATCGCATGTGGGCTGCATATAACATTTTTAACCCCGTCTTTCTATGGAATTAGTGAGTTGACTATTGCATTATTAAGTCGAGTAGAATAGTAATTTAGTAATAATGCAAGTTGATCTTAACCATTCTTTCGTATAGTCCAGTGAAGTCACGTACATTAATTTAACTTTGTTATGCTATTAAAACAATTGGCTAACTGTTGCTTTATTGAGGCGAATGAATTAGTAATTAACAATGATCTAGAACGATCTAAACCATTTAGGGAGTCAATTGATCCCGCATATGTGAATTTTGTTATATCGTGCTATGAAAGTAATAAATTGCCTAATGTATTATTGAATCAAAACAATAATAATCAGTAATTATGTAAACTAATTTAAACCATAAGTAAGGTCAAGTGGCCCCGTACACGTGAATTTAGGTGTGTCATGCTATAAAAGTTGTTTGCTGATTGTTGGTTTACTGCATCCGGTCTTTGCAATGGCTCCACGTACAAGAATTTAGGCAAGCCGTGCCAAGGAGGCAATAGACTTGACTAGAGGGTGAGAGAGGCTATAGACTTGACTTGTTCATTACCCAAGGTGAAATTAGTAATAATATTGATGGCCTTGAAAGTCTAGTGGATGAGTATGTCATAACTTGATACTCTCAATGGACCACCGGGTCTTCTTAATATTTTTTTTTGATGGGATCCATTCACACAAAGGTCCTATCCATTTGGGATCCAAAAATTAAGAATTTTAGTTTGGATCCAAAGTATTGGGTCTCATTTATGATATATTTGAATATATGGAGTCTCATTTAGATTCATGATAAATATTTAATTTTGAGCACATTTAATACTAAAAATTTGAATTTCATTTTCAGCTATATAAATTAACGAGTATTATGATTAGTAACATGACTAACTAACCATTTAAAAAGGAGTAATGTTATTGTGACTTAATTTGCTGACCTAATTCACTATGATCTTTGGATTGACTGTGGAGCCCATTAAACATTAGAACTTAGTACTGATCCAATGGTTCTACTGAAACCACATCATTATGTTAACAAATTAAGTCAAATTTTTATGTCCAAATAGTATTATTCTTCAAAAAGATATCAAAAAATTTGGAGATGTAATTGACGTCTACTTTTGTTGTGGGAGAAAACTAGAATTGCCAGTGGAGCCAAAAATATATTTAATTAGTTTTTTCAACTTTAGATCACTAATGTTGATGAATGAGCCATTTGAATAAAATCTACTAATAAGGTCTCAGGTCTCATTTTTATTGTTGGAAAGTGTTTAAAATTTAGTCAATTTAACAGAACTAAACCTCACTCCCATTTTCACTATGCAAACATTATAATTTGGTTATATCTTTTTCTTGTTCTTTTTTTCTTTCATGTTTCACTGTGCATACTGGCCTCGAATTTAGCTTTTCCGTGTTAGGGGGGTTGTGGACTGACTTGTGCATGACTGGTCCTGAGTCAAGATTTTGAGAGCTTGGCCTGCTACTTCTCCAAAGGCATCACCCCTCTATTTAATCTGATAGCACTTTGCCAAGAAACACAAGCAAAAACATATCAGCAAATAAATATGAAGGAATCAAAGGGTTTGGAGTGGTGGGTGGTAATGTTAGCTTTGATATGGCTTTGTGGTGTTGGGTGTTTTGGTTTTTGGGAGGAAGAGAGGGTTGCTCTCTTGCAACTCAAAGCTTCCATAAACTACCCAAATGGACCTTCTTTGCCATCTTGGGAGGATAGAGTGGAAGTTTATAACAGTATGGAGAGCGACTATTGTTATTGGGAAGGAGTTGAATGCAACGAGACCACATCTCATGTAATTAAGCTTTTCCTTAACTCTACAAGGGATGGGTCTTTAGGAGATTGGTATTTCAATGCCTCTTTGTTTCTTCCCTTTAAAGAGCTCTGAAATCTTGACTTATCTGATAACCAGCTTGTTGGTTGGGTCGCAAATGAAGGTCCAGATTTTCCTGCTTAGCAAAATAATAAGCATGTGGTGTTCTTAATATGTTAATTAGGGAATTTTTTTTTATTTTATCCAAAAGTAAAATTCTTAACAGGTTTCGAAAGATTATTTGTGTTGAGCAAGCTGGAGGTTCTTCGGTTGGATTCCAATTATTTCAATAACAGCATCCTATCATCTCTAGGATTGGTTTCGTCACTTCAGAGACTATACATAAGACACAACTATTTGAATGGATCTATTCACCTGCAAGGTATGAAAGAGATTTTAACAACATTTATTTATGTACGAGAATTGCAATAAATGGCCTTTTCTCTACTACTTCTGCTTGGAACCATAACAAGGGAACTAGTCCAAAAACCTCTTGGTCCAAGCGTCTCTGGTACAATCAATCCATCCCGAGAATGAGCTTCATTCTTTGGTTGGCCATCAAGCAAAGGCTCTCTACCAAGAATAGAATTCATGATCCTTATAACTAGACTAGCTTGGAATGCATGGTTTGGAGGCGTCACCCTGAATCCCACTTTCACCTCTTCTTTGAACGTGTCTATTCCTTTTAATTGATGGCTTTAAGTGCATAGTAGATTGCATCCCGTGTATTTAATTTATTTTTTTAAACTGTGTTTCAAAATTGACGAAGACATGTTATTAGTGCTCTCTAAAATTCTAACTTCTTATTCCTAATTTTTGGAAAATTGGATACAAAGTTCTATCATCCAAACAACTTTTCTTATTTTTGTTTCATATCCAAAAATAAAAAAATTGTTTTACAGATGCAAACCAAACAAGACTTTTAACAATAATTATTTCTCAACCTAAAATCCAATGAAAGAATGCAGAAGACAAAGAAATCAGTAAGCTTACAGACTGAAGTAATAAAATACTAATGAACTTACACTCTTACAGATCACGAATAATTGTTGTTTTATATGCAGACTTTCCTGCTATGAGCAACCTGGAAGAGCTGGACTTGAGTGCTAACTACGATATTACCAGCCTCACGACCATAAGAGGTATAGATGATTTGTCAAAGGATACGTTGTTTTCGTTCTCTTCATGTGCAGGATTGAATTGGAACTACAGTATAGATCATGGCAGTGTAATATTTTGCATTCAGGTATGAAGAGCTTAAACAAGCTTCAAGTTCTTCGCATGGAAGGCATCAGATTTAATGCAAGTGTTTTACATTCACTAGGTGCATTGCCATCTCTTAGGAAGTTAATCCTTGCAGTAGAAGGATTGGTCACCAAAAAAGGTAATGACGACGACTTAATAATATTTTCTGCAGTTCCTTCCTCCCTTTTGTTACGGTTAATTAAAATATTTACATTAAGGCATTATCTGCAGTAACTTATACACTAATCAGTCCAGTTGGTATATGTGACGTGATGGATACTCAGGAGCATTGGTTTAAAAAAAAAAAATACTTTGTTACACTTTTATACCACTAAGGTATAATCAGATTGCTTCAAAACAAAAACAAAAGAAAAAAGGTGTATATCATCATATTGAAGCTCTTAATTTCAGAATTTAGCCCTTTATTTCTTATTTAAACAAACTTAAACTTGAACCCAAACACCTGTATCATTATCAATACACGCGCACATAACATAACCACAGACGCAACTACACATAGGCACTTGAGCACACACATACACCACTGTCCTCTCTCTAACACACTGTCCTCCCATCTTCTTCTTCTTCTTCTACAGCATCCGCCTCTTGTTGCTCATTTTGTTGCAGTTGTTCATAGACACTGAGAGAAGAACACCTGGACATAATCTTACAAACACATGCACACATAATTTTTTTTATCTCTCTCTCTCTTTCTATAACTCAACTAAAATTTGTAGATCCCTTGAGATGTAGTGGTTCAAAACCTAATTTCTAGTGCTTAATTTCCTTGAATTTTAACTGAGAACTCGTAAACTTAAAGAGACCAAAACCTAGCTAGTGCATGATTCAGAAGTGAAATTTGTGCAAATTTCTTTAATTCGGATGAAAGTTAAGATTCAAGTATTTTTTTAGGAGGAAAGCTAGAGAGAAATAAAAATCAAATCTAGCTTAATGCTATGGTTTTATTGTAACCATTGGATTAATACAAAATTTCAGTATTTCTTAGAACCCACCATAAATCCAATAGCTATAATAAATTATGCCAGTAAATTAGGTCAATAAATTTGTCACGCCCCTGCCCCGGATCACGTAGGGTGGAAAACGAACCAGCCACCAAATTCTTAACCAACTAACCATGTGCATAATAAATGTAAAGTATAATGGAAGACATATATTAAAATGATTCATTCCACACATCTAATGAATACCAAAAAAATAAACTAAAAATTATCCAATATCATTATTAAAGCCATGTAAAACCATAATCAAACTATAAGATTTACAAACTCCAAACATAAACAACATTATTCCTAAAATAATTAAATAATTGTTTTAAAATCATAAACGATACTTATTCTTAAAGACTTACAATAGAATAAATCTTCAAGTCCCCTAAATCCTTGTTTGTCAATAGACTTACTCTTCACCCTGATGCTCACCTAGAAAAATTTTTGTATGAGCACAGGAACCCTTGAATAGAAATCACTTCTAATGAGGAGTGAAAATATGTCTCACTGTTTATATAAAAGAAATAAATTTTTATACATACTTAAGTACAACAAATTATACCACAACCCTTCTTACATAATCATTTACACAAAATGATATCATATTCACAAATATCTATACAAAAGAAAATATATTTATAACTCAAACACCCACACACACTCAATTTCAAATACATTTGTTATCTTTAGCCCGATAGTTAAGCTTCGTCTCATGTTTGTTACCACTAGTTTGATAATTGGCCCAATCGTTTGTCATCGTTAGCCTGATGAATGACCTCTATCTGTACATCTTTCTACTGATCACACCAGTATTCCTTCAATATCATTACTATTTAGACCTAGTAACCCAGTTCTCATATCACAAAACATGATTTTAACATACACACACCAGAACTATTGTTTAAGTCCCAACGCACATAAAATTATCCCACACATTTTCAAAGTTAACATGTGTAACAAATCACAATTGGAATAATTAATTATAAAAAATTTAGTTCCAACCCCAAATATCAACATATATAGCATATATTTGAAATATCCATACACACATACACCCACAAGTTTAATATAGAAAATTCTTCCAAAAGAAGTAATAAAGTACTCACATTGATTCTCATATTCCAATTCAAACCCCTCTCTCCCAATCTCAATGTAATTACTACCTAATCCAAAATAACATGTAATGATTAATCACTATTTCTAAATTCATAATTTTGCGATTCTATATTTAATTTTTATACTTCTTACCCATTGACATATCTTTATATATCATTTGCATATAAATAACATTTTAATATGAGATAATAGGGTATGCAAGTAGTATAGGTAATTTAAAAAAAATTTAAAAGTTTTGGGGTCAAATCATAATTTTTGAAATTTTTTTAGGTCAAAATATATTTTCCTTGAAAACCGAATTTTCTATTTTGGTGCGACCATACAATTTTCCAGCATTTTATTGTTCTAACTTACCAACTAAAAGGTGGCCAGAATTAAATTTATAAGAATCTAGGGGTTAATATATAATGCATTGAAATTAAATGGGGTGTCCTGTAATTTTTGAGTTTTCATTTTCTTCCTCCATGAGATTCCCAGATTCTCATATTCTACAAATGCAAAAGTCCAACCTCCCTTTTTTTTTTCTTTCCAACACAATTTAAATTTATAGTTATTTTTGAAATCATCTAACCAAACAAGTTCTTCGTCTCCGAAATACTTTTTAAAAATTATTTTTAGATATTATTTTTAGAGACGCAAATCAAACTGCCCCTATTTTTCCACGGAACCATGTTTTTTTTTTTTTTGAGCAAAACAAGGAACCATGTTTGACTCCACTTTATATGGCCCTCCCAAGTTTTCACAATTATACCTCACCCCCTTAAATTGTGGCCATCTTATATATTGTACCATTGAACATTCAAGGCAATTCTGTGGATTATTTTTGTCGAAAAAATAACAGTGTATGAAAAATCAAATTTAAATAAGTTGTAAAAAAATTGATAAATTAAATGATTAGTTATGTTATGTGTTAAATTCAATAGTCGATGAATAAAATGATATAAGAGTCATAATTTATCGATATATTACATGTATAAGATTCAAATCAAATATAATATGAATTTAAGAGAGATACGTATTATTCGTCTTGTTTTGTTTAGTTTTCATAATTTAAAAAGACATAACGTGATTTACTGCTACTCGAGCAATCATGTGATAAAATTGGGCTTAAATTGGATTAAACGCTATCCAATTCTAAACAACTATAAATTTAAATTCTGCTTAATAACTTCTAAAATTAACGAGGTATTGTATATATGTATCAGTTATAACTCGTGCATGAAGACATGATAAAACACAAGTATCAAGCATTCAAAAAATTGATCCCACTATACAAAATAATAATTTTTTATTTCTTTGTTTCTTTTATTACATCAATTAAAATTAATTTTTACCTATTATTTTTTTTAAAATAGCGTCAAAATTTTGTAGAACTCGGAAATTTTTTTTTAACACGTGTACACTATTGTGTATGAATAAAGTATGAAATAAAATTTATGTTAAATTACAAATTAATCACCTTGGGTTTTACAAAATTAGGTCTCAATATCGTTGCTCTTTTTTTGATTAATACTATTGAGACATAAATAACTGAACTGCATAATGATGTGTCAAGAGATTTAGTCCAAATGGAAAAGTCTAAAAGTTATAATTACAACAATACTATTGATAAATTTAGAAATTACTCCTATTAGAGCATTTCCAATTTTGACTTAAATTTGGGTCAATATTTGAGTAAAAAGTTTGATTTAATACAAAATAGTCTAATGGAGAAACTCAAATTTAAAAGAAGATAAACCCAAATTTAAAGATTTGAGTCTTCCTTGATTTAAGTAAAAAATTGAGTATCTCTTAACTTTATTCAACCCAAATTGAACTTGAATAGTACTCCAATTATATAACCCTGGAACTAAAGCAGAGTTAAACTCAAATTCAATTCAAGAACTCGAGTTCAATATTAGTTTAAAATTTAAACATGGTAATCCTCGGGTTGAAAAGTGAAATTAATCCTATTAGAACATCTCTAACTTTGACTCAAATTTAGGTCAACATTTGAGTAAAATGTTTGATTTGATACAAAACACTCTTAACGTAGAAACTCTAAGGCATTATGTATTTTGATTTCTTAATTTTGTTTCTTCTTATTTTCAAAACAGAGTTGAGTGGTCTGAACAACTTGGAGCACTTATATTTGGATTCTTCATCCATCAATGGGAGTTTTCTTCATAACGCTGGAGTGATGACTTCTCTAAGGATTTTATCATTGTCTAAATGTGGACTTCGTGGCAGTCTACCTGCTCAAGGTATATATATGAGTTTATTCATGAATTGTTGCTTCGATGTTGAATCTTTAAAATAGGATCCTCAAATTTTTTTACATGTCACTAACAAAATTAATTTTTAATTTATATGAATCACAACAACTCATGCTAGGCGGCGGCATTACTTCTTTTATTTTACAGGATTTTGCGATCTTAAGAACCTTGAAGAGCTATACCTTGATGACAATGATTTTGAGGGGATATTTCCTTCATGTATGGGAAACTTGACATCGCTTCGAGCATTGGATCTCTCTTCCAATAACTTGCATGGAAGTGTTGCCCACTCTCCCCTTACTATTCTCACTTCACTTGAATACCTTTCCCTTTCAGATAATCACTTCATGATTCCATTCTCATTTGCCTCATTTTCTAACCATTCAAAGCTTGAGGTCATTTTAAGTGATAATAACGTAGCAACGATTGAAAATGAATCTCAATCATGGATCCCGAGATTTCAACTGAAGTTTTTTAGTTTGTCAAATTGTGCCATTAAAACACTACCTTCTTTCTTGTATTACCAAAATCAGATGATAGCTGTTGATCTCTCCCACAACAACTTATTGGGGAAGTTCCCCACCTGGTTGTTAGAGAATAATACGAGATTGGAATTACTTCAACTACGAAATAACTCTTTAAGGGGGCCTTTTCAAATGCCTTCTTATCCTTATCCTCACATTTCACAATTAGATGTTTCTGACAATTACTTAACTGGTCAAATTCCTACAAATTTAGATATGATCTTTCCAAGCTTGGAGTTTGTCGACATGTCCAATAATATGATTGATGGTCGTATTCCTCTTGGTTTTGGCAATATCAGTTCTTTACGGATGATAGACCTATCTAACAATCGTTTAGATGGAGGAATACCAGAACATCTGCAAATGGGTCTTTCCTCCTTGGAGTTGCTCAAACTATCAAATAATTACTTGCATGGTCAAATATTTGGCAATCTTCTCAACCTGGTTCAATTGGGGGCGTTATATTTGGACAACAATCACTTTCTTGGAAACATATCAGACTGCTTATCAAATGCCTCTACGTTGACGGCGGTGGATATTTCTAATAACCGTTTGTCTGGCTTCCTTCCCAAGTGGTTCGGGAATGTATCGGCTTTATCGCAAATAAGTTTGGCCAAAAATCACTTTGAAGGCCCCATTCCATTGGGATTTTGCAAACTTAATTATCTTCCGTTTTTGGATTTATCTGAGAATAACTTGTCAGGCTCTGTGCCAGCTTGCTTCAACCCTTCATCCATAATGCATATCCATCTGAATAAAAATAGATTGAGTGGTCCATTGACTCTTGCATTCTATGACATCTCCCAATTGGTGACATTAGACCTTGGAGACAACAGGTTTACTGGTGAAATCCCGAATTGGATATGCCAACTTTCTAGATTGAGGGTTCTTATCTTGAAACGTAACAATTTTGGAGGCAACATTCCCAGTCAATTATGCCAGTTGCAAGAATTAAGCATGATTGATCTTTCTCAGAATAGACTTTCTGGTCCTATTCCTCATTGCCTGTCTGACATCACTTAGGAGTCGAGCATTGACAAATCTCTTACACCAGGAGCAGGATTTCCTGAACCAAGGGAATTATCATTTTCAATCATGGGAATTAATAGACCTTTTGATTTTCCATATCAATCTAATTCCTATTCTATTGAAATGTAGAATGCCAAAGAAAATGTGGAGTTCACAACAAAGAATAGTACTTATCCATATCAGGGCGCTGTCCTAGATTTGATTTCAGGAATTGATTTCTCTTGCAACCAATTAACTGGTACTATACCACCAGAAATTGGGAACTTAAGTGAGCTCTTCATGTTAAATCTGTCCCATAACAATCTCCTTGGATCCATTCCGGCATCATTGTCCAACCTAAGTCATATTGAGAGTTTAGATCTTTCCTATAACAAATTGACCGGGAGTATCCCCTCCGAATTGATTAAGTTGAACTTCTTGGAGGTCTTCAGTGTCGCCTACAACAATTTATCAGGTAAAACTCCAGATTTGAAAGCTCAGTTTGCTACCTTCAGCGAGAGTAGTTACGAGGGAAATCCTTATATTTGTGGACCTCCATCACATAACAATTGTACTGATGTCCGAGCACCATCGTCAATTCCAAAAGATTCAGAGGATGAGCAAAATGATGGTGGTTTCACTGACATGGATGTATTTCATGTGAGCTTTTTAGTGTCTTATATCATGTTGTTATTAGGAACTTTAGCAGTTCTTTATGTGAACCCTCCTTGGCAAAGGGCATGGCTCCATTTGGTTGAAGCATGTATGACCTCTTGCTACTATTTTGTTGTTGACAGTTTTCATAAGTTGTTCAACCGCAACATTGTGTGACCCATTAGCTAGATTTTTATGTGTACTCTTTCAATAAAAGCACTGTACTATTTTAAAGTTTTCAGTAGATAATGGTTTCAGTTTATGTACTTCTATCATTAGGTTATGTTATGCATTTTACTTATGTAGTCATGAGAGTAAAAGGAAGAGCTCCAAAAGAGTTCAATGTGTTCCCTCAATAAACCAATGGATAACTTAAATGAAAATTTAAGTTATTGTATAGCTTGCCTACATTACCTTTTAATCCCAAGTAGTAATGTTCAAAAACACTTTACTTTCGTAAAGTTCAAAAATATACTCATACTTTGTGTTTTTGGACCAACATATAATTGATTCCCGAAGTGAAATAGGTAAAAGTCATTTGATTTACTTTCTATAAATATATAAAACCAATGCCTTCTTTAATCCTAATTTTAGTTCCAAGTACATAGTGCAAACACATATTTTCCAAAGTTAATACATTTTTATTTCGACAATAGACCGAAACTAACTTTTTGCATTGCCCCTTTTTTGTCACCCTATTTGTCAAAACAAAAATCAAATTTTCTTGTGTGATGAGTCAGTCAATTAGTCATAATCATTAGCATGATTTGACCTTCGATTTATCTCAATCCTATTATTGAGGAATATGAATGTTCTGTCATCCTATATATATTGGTATTCCCCTACCACAGAAAGCACATTCCACTAAAAATTTTACTAGGTAACAATCCGAAATTCATCACTAAAAGAACTTTGCTACAAATTTTTTTGTTGCAATGTTTGTTGGAGGGAGCCCCTAGCTAAGTGCCGGCGAAATTTAATCATAGGTTAAAGTTGAGTTTTTTCATGGAAAATTTTTGCTGGTGGCAACTTTTGCCTAAGAAAATATATTCTAAGGTAAAAAGGGTTGCCTTCAACATAATCTTTCCCTATGAAAATTTTTCCCTGGTAAAAATTGTATTATTTAAAAAAAAAAAACACTAAATGAGTTAATACCAATTAAACTACCCAAAAACAAACTAAATGAATTTATACCCCCAGGACTTCAAAAACAAACCAAGAATGCAAATAAAGATCATCAAAAATAGTGCACAATACTTCATAACCGACTCTTGGTAGAAATCTTACCTAAAAAAAATCTTTGCACAAAACTTAAGCAAAATAATGCGTAGTGTCTTATGCATTACAAAAGAACTCATGGAGATTTCCCATTTTGATAGTCTGTATCAATTTCCACAATGGTGTGGCCAAGCGCTTGAATGCCAAAAAGTTAGTTGTCAATGCTTTTACATTTGTACTACTTCACATTCCTCTTTAACATTGTCAATTATAAATGACTTACAAACATCACTGCTAATTACCTAAGACAATGGCAAATATATGTTCAAGTTTTAGCTATGGGGAAAATAAAGGAAACTGGGTATAAAGTTGGAAATGGCTTAAACACATTTCCCTTGTTGGACCCTTGGTACTCTAGGGGGATCATTCAGTAGGTCTGGGGTTTTGAACATGGTGAAAAATTCAAGCCTTGAGAGAGAAGCAAAAGTTTGTAGCATAGTGGGAACTTATGGATGGGTATGGCGTAAGCACGAGAATGCTGAAATTAAGGAAGTTCTTAACACCATTCCATCAACTTTTAGGCTTGGTCTGGTTGCTATAGATAGTGTGAAATGGATGTCCTCAACCATTTTTTGCACCAAATCTGCATGGGAATGCTTTAGATTCAAGCAGAAACAACAAAGATGGTCACATATTGTATGGTTTCATGTTACCATTCCTAGGCACAACTTCATTATGTGTCTTGCAGGAAGAAAGAGATCAACTATAGAATCAAGATATACTTCTGCTATATGGCATCATTTCTAAGGCTATTTGTGTCTTTCGTAGAGGTGGGGCAGAGACACAACCATCTCTAATTTGAATATCCATTGTAGAGTCAGTAAGGTCCTTGTAATCTTTCAGATATTGAATAAAATCTTTAATATTGCATCTTTATTGATATCTTTCTTCAATTGTCATTTCCTAAAACCTTAGTCTGTCTTTCCTCAATGCCAAAAAGAGAGGTGAAGGATATTAGGTTATAGTGAGAGTAAAAGGAACTATGAAAGCCAGGAGGTGCCATGAAGATTGTTCTAGTAGCTCAAAGACGAGTCTTATAATCTAGCTTGAGACACGGGAACAGAAAGCAGGCTTCAGGAAGGAATGACAAATGAGGAGGAAGCGAGGTGGACTATACAATCAATATGTGATTTTGATTATTTTCATGTTAATATTAGATTTGAGCTTTAGCATAATCTGAATACATTAGAAAGGGAGATCAAAACATTAGAAAAACAAAAACATGAACTAGAATCATGACCAACAACTTTATTTAACTTAAGAATAGTTAATCTTTGAATTAGAGATAAATTATCAAAAACTTAGAAGCCAACCAAAAGCTTTGTATTGGATAGTATAGTATTTTAGAATAGATACTATATTAGTTTAAATATACGGGGCAATAGCATAATTTTGTCATTGGGAAGTAATTTCCAAAGTACCCTTACCTGTGTTTGTTTGGGGGATTGCTATGCATGGGATTGTGAAATAAATTCTTTCCATTTCCAATGTCTATGTAAAGTAGTAATGGTAATAAAAAGTAAACATGTTTAAAGTTTTTAATAAAAAGTAAACATGTTTAAAGTCTATCCTTATATAGCCAAGATTCTAAAAAGTAATCCCAAGTATTTTCTAATCTTTCATGATAAATGGATACTCTAAAACTGTTTTAGAATATAATTCAACATCCTTCAATGCACCACATACTTACAAGTGGAGCATATGCAATGTACAGCCGAGAGGAATAGTGACCAGTAAAAGTATTCTATCGCATTTAAAGTAGCATAAAAGAGGGATCCAGTGTTCAGTGTCCGCAGATAATGAGTAATCATAGTCAGGAAATGGTTCGTTATACAAATCACAATCCATCAGTAAAATTTCAATAAAGATCCATAAAAAATGATCAACCTATAGTACAGTAACAAAGATATTAACAAAGTTTAGTTTTAGTACTAAATATAGCACAGTAGGGACACCTAACACAACTCTTATCAAATCTGACCTTTATATAGAGATAAAAAGTGAAGATCAAAGCAAATATAGCAACAGCTTCATTGTCATAACTGCCAGCCACAGAGCGAGATATATAGGATGGAACCTAAAAAAGATCACATAGAAAACAGAGAGTATGATTATCACACAGAATAGAGTACCACAAAAACATAGAGCAGCATACTTAATATTAATGTTTTTAATATTAGCTAGAACCAAGAAAAGAACAAAAACAAAAGTAAGACAACCTTGATTGAGAGGTTTACTGTCTACATTCACATAGAATGGAGTACCACAAACACATAGAGCAACAAACTTAATATTAAAGTTTGTATTACTATCACCAAGAAAAGAACAAAAACAAAAGTAAGACAGACAAGCTTGTCGACAGGTTTACTGTTAAAATCAAACACACAATTGATGACCTTCTCACAACAAAAGCCTACCATAACAAGATGTACACCTGATGCTCCAATATGTCATTACTGACTGACAACTATGTCTAAGAGAAACAGTAAAAAAAAACAGGGAAGGAAAAAAGGGATGAAAGAAAGAAAGAGAAATACAAATGCGGTAGCTCAACTCAAATTGTTGGGTATCATTCGAATATGATTAAAAATATTAGAAAGATATGCTCATATATTTTTGACAATAATGCTGCAAGGAAAAGGACACATGAGAAACTACTGTTTAAAATTTTAAAACAGCATCAAAAAGAATAAGAAATGAAGTTACAGATACCCAATACAAAATTTACCATGGCCAAAAGAGCTGCTGCAGTCAGTCCAGCACCGGTGCCCTTACCTTCCTATTACAAGGGCCTACAAAACTAGACTGAGAAACCTCAGCTCAAAGAAATATATTAAAAGATATCAGCTAACCTAATGATAATAACTACAACTAAAAAAAAAAAAAGATTAAGCTGGCCAGAAAACAAACCTTCGTCAAAAGGAAAGTAGCGCAAGCAGCAATACCAGAGAATGTTGGAGCAGTAAATACACAAACAGTCTCCACAGATAGAGGAATGTTTAAAGAATTCTGTATCCTGCCATAATAAAGTATGACCCCAGGTCAGATTATAAGCTGTTATAGTTGGAAAACCAAATAAACAGAATAAACTAAGTCTGACAGACCAGTAAATCGCTACTGGAGAAAATTTATTATTCTAGGATGTAACATGACTATAATACACACCACCACAAGGTGCCTGCCATCAACGTCAATCCAGGGTAAACAGTTCCACCAATCACATGCCCAAGCGGATACCTTAGGACAAGTAAAATAAACAGCATGACTTATATTTGTCAATTGAAAACCAAAACAGGAGAATAAGTAAGCCGGAAGATTTCTGAGAATTTTTCCACGAGTTGTAATTTCCATTACCAGGTCCGATCATCAAACCAATTCCAAAAGTCATATATCTCATTCTTTGTGAAATACTGAAACCCATAAATACTCTTGCCAACATAAACCTACTCTTAATCTCTTATGACATTGCACAAAAGGCATTCCTATGAGAGAACATACTAATGTAAATAAATAAATGGACATGTTTTAAGTAACTACATTATAAAATGGTAGCTTCCTGGTTATGATACAAGCTTCAATTTCGTCATCATGGGCTCAAGAAAGTTTACATTTCTTTTTCTCTGCTAGTCATCAGTCCTACGCATTTCATTTTGCTCTTCATTTATGATATACTCAAAATTGGATACATTGAGACGCAATTACAGATTCTTCAAACGATTTCCGAAGGCAAACCCTTAACTCTTTAAGTCTTGTTGGAGTTCCAAGTTAACAGTGTGATGTTCATGGAGTAGACGTTAACATAAAAGTGTGACGCGAAAGGTAGGTCTTGGATGCTCTAAGGGCATTTTTAAGAAGGATATCTGTTGTTCAAAATATATTTAAATATTATATTATCTGTTTTAATCAATCATTTTTTTAAATTCATTCCAACAACGTCATCTATTTTATCTAATCACTTCAACTAAATTTAACTAAATTTTAATAATAATATCTAAAATATTATTTAGTATGCCATGTCATCATCATATTTATAACATCATATGCTGACGTATTACGCCACGTTATCAAAATTTTAAAATTTTAATTTTTATTAATAATGATCATATTTACAACGGTCGCGAAATTCAAAATTTTAAAATTTGAGTTTTTTAACGGTTATATTTATAACGGTCATATTTTTGGATATGTATAAATAGGATCTTTAATCTCTCATTGTCATACACCTCAAATCTATTTCTTCTCTATAAACTCTTCTTTGTGTTTATGTTATGGTTCGGCATTCTGTAATGAACATGATTCTTAACGATTCTAGCTCCGATGATGAATTGGAGATAGTAACAATTTGTGCTATTGAAATGAACAAACTCAATAGCGAGGAAAGCTCTGTCATACGTCATGGTTCCATTCAAGGTCATTCAATTATTTTTTGCAATCGAGTTTAAGGCCACGAAAGACTGTATAGTGATTATTTTGATGAACTTTCTATCTATCCCTCAAATTTATTTCGAAGAAGGTTTCGAATGAATCGAGCCTTTTTCTTTCGTATTCTATCTAAGGTGGAAGATTGTGATCCATATTTTGTCCAAAAAAAAAATGCTGCTGAAACTACTAGCTTGTCTTTCCTTCAAAAGATGACAGCCGTCACAAGGATGCTTGCTTATGGGATTACAGCAGATGTTGTTGATAATTATATGACGATTGGCGAAAACATCACAATAGAAAGTTTAAAAAAATTTGTGAGGGCAATAGTAGTAATTTTTTTCAATGAATACCTCAGGTCACCAAACAACGATGACATTGCTAGATTATTAGTAATGAGTATCAACCGTGGGTTTCTTGGGATGTTGGGTAGCATTGATTGTATGCATTGAAAATGGAAGAATTGTCCAATAGCATAAAAATGTATATATTCTGGTCACGTACATGAACCAACAATTATTTTGGAGGCGGTGGTTTTATATGATCTTTGGAGTTGACATGCCTTTTTTGGGTTATCCGGATCTCATAATGATATCATCGTATTAGAACGCTCTTCTGTTTTTGTTTTCTTTTAAGAAGGTCGGGCTCCTCTAGTCAATTTTTTAGTCAGCAGAAACAATTATACAATGAGATATTACCGTGGATTTCCTGAGATGTTAGGACACTTTAATTGGTAAGTTAGTCAGAAGAATTTAAAAGAAGGGACACGTACTCTAGATTATCTTGTAGTACTAAACCCTAGTAAAAAGAAACTGAAAACTAAACATTTTTTTTTGTAATATGGTTGTATGTTGCAACAACTGCTATAATCTGAATAATGCCCTGAACTGAAAAAAAGAAAAAAAAATACCCTATATAACCAGAGATTTGAATTATTTAATCAAGACGATTTGTCGACTAATGTCAAAGAGAGATAAGTGATAGAAATTAAGGTGTGAAAAGCAAATGCTTACTTTGGTTCAAAAGGATAATATCAAATAAATTAATATCAATTTTTTAAAATTCAAACGATTGTATATTTCACAATAACACTATAAAAAATCTTTCCAAATATTTTCATATCATTTATACATGAATCAAGACATGGATAACTAGGTAATATTAAAAAAAAAACTGAAAAGTGTACTTATAATTTTTTATACTTATTTTGAATTTAAATACTTACATGTTAAAACTTGAAACTTATATCCAAATAAGACTTAAAAAGTGTACCCAAACCCAATTTTCCCTTGTTTTTATACATGAGAGCCCAATTTAATTAATAGCTTAATAACATTTTTGGTCCCTAAAATATATATTTTTTAACAATTTAATTCTTATTTTATCAATTTAGTCCCTAAAGTATTAAATTCGTGTTTTTTTTGTCCCTACATAGACGGACCCGTTAAGTTTTTAATGGAATGATCACGTGTTGAGAATGTGATACAGTCTAAAAAAAGAACACGTGGTTACTTATGTCAAAACAATAGACAGATTGTCTGATTAGGGACCAAAGTGACACAGATTAAATATTTTAAGGACCAAATTGATAAAATTAATACCAAGATGACTAAATTAATAAAAAAAAAATGCATATTTCAGGGATCAAAAGTGGTTATTAAACCTTAATTAATACTACATCAAAATCTGACTCCATTGTTCCAATGTAAACAAACATATTGCGATTGGTAAAATCACTTACGAAAAATGTGATGGTCTATGAGGAGGTAACATAAGAAACTCCCAATAGTTTATCAGGGGATAAAGTGAGGTCGGGGCCATGGAGTCAAGTGTAATTTATACATAATAATGATACGAGAAATTAAGTCAGCCGTGTTAGGTGGATAGTTGACTAGCTTGTGCATTTCTAGATCAAATTGAATAGTCATGATTTTGAAGGCTCGACTTGTAAACCATCCAAAGGCCTTAACCCTCTATTTAATCTGGCACCACTTTGCCATGAAATAGAAAAAAGAAGAAGTATATATATCAGAATCATAATAACTACACAGCTACAGTAGCAGAAGTTAAATATGAAGGAATCAAAGGGTTTGCAGTGTTGGGTGGTAATGTTAGGTCTTATGTGATTTTGTGGTGTTGGGTGTTTTGGATGTTGGGAGGAAGAGAGGGTTGCTCTATTGCAATTCAAAGCTTCCATAAACTACCCAAATGGAAATTCTTTGCCTTCTTGGGAGGACAGAGTGGAAGGTTATAACAGTATGGAGAGCGCCTGTTGTTTTTGGGAAGGAATTGAATGCAACGAGACCACAGCTCATGTAACTAAGCTTTCCCTTGACTCTACAAGGAACCGGCGTTTAGGAGATTGGTATTTCAATGCCTCTTTGTTTCTTCCCTTTAAAGAGCTCCGGAAGCTTGACTTATCTAATAACCAGCTTGTTGATTGGGCCGCAAACGAAGGTCTAGCTTTTATTTTTTAACAAGCTAACAAGCATGTGGAGCTATGAATATATATGATTTAGGGGTTTTTTTCTCTGAAATATGAAATTCTTGGCAGGTTTTGAAAGATTATCTGGGTTGAACAAGCTGGAGGTCCTTCTGTTGGATGAGAATGGCTACAATAACAGCATCCTATCATCTCTTGGAGTGCTTTCACCACTTAAGAGACTAGCTATAAGCTGGAACAACTTGAATGGATCTATTCACCTACAAGGTATGAAAGAGATTTTAACAACATTTATATATGTACGAGAATTGCAATAAATGGCCTTTTCTCCACTGCTTCTGCTTGGAACCATATCAAGGGAACTAGTCCAAAAACCTCTGGGTCCAAGCTCCCCTGGTACAGTCAGTCCATCCCGAGAATGAGCTTCATTCTTTGGTTGGGCATCAAGCAAAGGCTCTCCACCAAGGATAGTGTTAGAGTATGTGTGACTCATATTTGCTGTGTGCATAATGGCAAGGAAGCAGATGCCGGAGCGGGATTTATATAAAGGGGACGCTGATTAGTTGGGGGTGCGAGGGCAACGCCCCTGCGGTACGATACAGGGGTATTTTTGTAAATACGTCCATATTAGGGTTATATAAATACTTAATATGTAACCCTACTTCAATAATGGAAAAGAACAGTTGCTCACTCTCGTGGATATAGGCACATTGCCGAACCACGTAAATCTCTGTGTGTTATTTTCTCCTGCTTTCTTAATTGTTTGATTCCTTACTATTCACCATAATTGCTGCACGATCACAACAATTGGTATCAGAGCTAAACTACGATGTCTGAGATTTCCTTTACAAAATTCGACATCATGAAGTTTGACGAAACTGGGAATTTCGGATTATGGCAGAGGAGGGTGAAGGACCTGTTAGTGCATCAGGGCATGGTGAAGGCATTATACGAAAAACAACCGGCAGGAATGGACGACATGGATTGGAAAGAATTGGAAGCGAAGGCTGTGGCAACTATTAGGCTTTGTCTGGCTGATGAAGTGATGTATCACGTCATGGATGAGGAATCACCGGTGGAAGTTTGGTTGAAACTGGAAAGTCGGTATATGTCCAAGTCGTTGACGAACAAACTCTATCTTAAGCAGAAACTATATGGTCTTAAGATGTCAGAGGGCTCAGATTTGACCCAACACATCAACGTGTTCAATCAGATCATCAGCGATCTGAAGCGAGTTGATGTGAAGTTCGAAGACGAAGACAAGGCGCTGATGTTGCTGAATTCCCTACTGGCGTCTCCTACGTACGAGAATTTGGTTACGACTCTGATTTGGGGGAAAGAAACCCTCGAATTGGAGGATGTCACAGGTGCTCTGTTAGGTTTTCATCAGCGGAAGCAAGCCAGTGATGAGGCTTCACAAGGTGAAGGGCTTGTGGTGAAAGGTAACCAGGAACGTGGAAGAAGCAAATCTCGGAATGGATCGGGTAACAATAAAGCCCGGTCCAAGTCGAGGAAGAAGAAGAAGGACATCTCTGTCTCGTGTTACAAGTGCGGTAAACAGGGGCACTTTAAACGGGACTGTCCAGAGAAAAAGAAAGGAGATTCAGAGAACAAAGAGGGTGCATCAAAGTCTGCAAACGTAGTGGAAGAAGAAGATTCAGAGAGTGGTGACGGAGATATGCTTTCTGTTTTATCTAGTTCAGATCGTTTAACAGATTCTTGGATTATGGATTTAGCATGTTCCTATCACATGACACCCAACAAAGATTGGTTTGACACCTACAGTTCAGTAAATTTTGGTTCCGTTTTGATGGGTAATGATGCATCTTGCAAAGTTGTTGGAATAGGAAATATTAGAATTAAGATGTTTGATGGTATGGTTAGAACGTTGTGTGATGTTAGACATGTACCGGATCTAAGGAAGAATTTGATTTCATTGTGCACTTTGGATTGTAATGGTTATAGTTACAAATCTATAAGTGGTGTAATGAAAGTAAGTAAAGACATGCTGACAGTGATGAAGGGACAGAAAGTAGTAGGAAACATTTACAGACTGCTAGGTACTACAATTGTAGGTGGAGTTGCTGCTGTAGAGTCTGAATCAGATAATACAGTCTTGTGGCATATGCGGCTGGGTCATATGAGTGAGCGTGGGATGATAGAGCTTCATAAGAAAAATCTATTGAAGGGTGTCAAGACATGCAAGCTCAATTTTTGCAAATATTGTGTTCTTGAAAAACATAATAGGGTGCAGTTCAAGACAGCCACACACAAGACAGAGGGGGTTCTCAACTATGTCCATACAGATGTTTGGGGACCAGTTAGCGTACTATCACGGGAAGGATACATGTGTTTCGTGAGTTTCATTGATGATTACTCACGAAAGGTCTAGGTGTACTTCATGCGGCACAAGTCAGAAGCATTTGCCAAGTTCAAGCTGTGGAAAGCTGAAGTAGAGAACCAGACAGGGAGGAAGATTAAATGCCTCAGGTCAGATAATGGTACTGAGTACACAGATTCAAAGTTCCAGGAGTTGTGTGAGCAACATGGGATCAAGAGACACTTCACAGTCCGCAAGACACCACAACAAAATGGTGTAGCGGAAAGGATGAACAGAACGATAGCCGAGAAAGCTCGGTGTCTCAGGTTGAATGCAGGGCTTGCAAAGAATTTCTGGGCAGAGGTAGTGAATATGACATGTTTCTTGATTAACAGATCACCGAGGGCAGCACTAGATGGGAAAGTATTAGAGGAGGTGTGGACAGGCAGTGAGGTAGACTATTCTGGTTTGAGAGTGTTTGGATGTCCAGCCTATGTACATGTTTCTAGTGAGGAGAGGTCGAAGCTTGATGCGAAGTCTAGACAATGTATCTTTCTGGGATCCGAAGGCAAACAAAATGGTGATCAGTAGAGATGTGGTTTTTGATGAAAAAGCCATGTTGCAGCGTACTCAGTAAGAAGAGAAACAAGTACTAGAAAACTGCAGCACTAATGACCATGTGGTGCAGGTGGAGCTAGAGAATCATGGTAGAGAAGAGGATGCTCAGCATGTAGAGCATTCTATCTCAGGTGATCAACAACATCATAGTGTAGCCATAGACAGGCCCAAACGCAATATCAAGCCACCTACCAGGTATGGTTTTGAAGATTTGGTTTCTTATGTGCTTATTACTAGTAGCGGGGATCCTACAACTTTTCAGGAGGCAGTACAAAACCAAGAGAAAAGTAGATGGATGGGTGCTATGGTGGAGGAGATGGAGTCTCTGCATAAGAACCAGACGTGGGAGTTGGTGGAACTTCCCGAGGGGAAGAGAGCAATAGGGTGCAAATGGGTGTATAAGAAGAAAGAAGTAGTATCAGAAAATTAGGGAGAAAAATTCAAGGCTCGTCTAGTAGCAAAGGGTTACTCACAGAGAAAAGGGGTTGACTATGATGAAATCTTCTCCCCCGTGGTCAGACACACTTCCATCAGGACAGTGTTGGCACTAGTAGCACATTCAGATATGCAGTTGGAGCAGATGGATGTAAAGACAGCTTTCCTTCATGGCGACTTGGAGGAACGGATTTACATGGTACAACCAGAAGGGTTCAGTCTCCCTGGAGAGGAACATTTGGTCTGTAATTTGAAGAAATCACTTTATGGGCTGAAGCAGTCTCCGAGGCAGTGGTACAAACGATTTGACTCTTACATGATCCGAATTGGCTACAAAAGGTGTGAGTATGATTGTTGTGTCTATGTAAAAAGGCTTGATGATGATTCATTTATTTTTCTGTTACTTTATGTGGATGATATGTTGATTGCTGCCAAGAGTATGAGTGAGGTCAACAAGTTGAAGACTTTGTTGAGTAGAGAATTTGGCATAAATGATTTGGGTGCGGCCAAGAAGATTCTTGGGATGGAGATTCGCAGGGACAGAGCTTCCAGGAGATTATGACTATCTCAACATAGCTATGTTGAGAAGGTGTTGGACAGGTTCAGCATGAGTTATGCAAAATCAGTAAGTACACCTTTGGCGAATCATTTCAGATTGTCTACCGCTCAGTGCCCGAAGACAGATGATGAAGTTCATGACATGTCAAAGGTCCGATATGCTAGTGCAGTGGGGTGTTTGATGTATGCTATGGTTTGTACAATACCAGATTTGGCACAAGCTGTCAGTGTGGTTAGCAAGTTTCTTTCAAATCCGGGTCGACAGTATTAGGATGCAATCAAGTGGATTTTCAGATACTTGAGGGGCACTACAGACTATGGCATCAGGTTTAGCAGACAACAGAGTGACCCTTCAGTTATGGGATATGTGGATGCAGACTATGCAGGGGACTTGGATGACAGGAGGTCTACCACAGGTTATGTGTTTACTCTTGTGGGAGGACCTATTTGTTGGAAGTCCATGGTACAGCCTATAATTGCACTATCTACTACTGAGTCAGAGTATATGGCAGTAGCTGAGGCTGCCAAAGAGGCTTTGTGGCTTACAGGTTTAGTCAAGGAGCTGGGTGCCCAGCAATGTGGAGTTCAATTGCATTGTGACAGTCAGAGTGCCACTTATTTGGCAAAGAACCAGGTGTATCATGCGAGGACCAAACATATAGATGTGAGGTTTCATAAGATCAGGGAACTCGTTTCTTCTGGTGAACTATTATTTGAGAAAGTTCACACTTCTGAGAATGCAGCAGACATGTTGACAAAGCTTGTTACTACAGACAAGTTCAAGCACTGCTTGGACTTGATTAATGTCTCTAGTTGCTAGATGGGAGATGCCTCAACTTAGCGTCCCCGGTAGAGTTCCTGAATACATGTCCTCTTTTTTTCTTTTAAGGGGTGAATATTTGCTAAGGTGGAGATTGTTAGAGTATGTGTGACTTATATTTGCTGTGTGCATAATGGCAAGGAGGTAGATGCCGGAGCGGGATTTATATAAAGGGGATGCTGATTAGTTGGGGGTGCAGGGGCAACGCCCCTGCGGTACGGTACAGGGGTATTTTTGTAAATACGTCCATATTAGGGTTATATAAATACTTAAGATGTAACCCTACTTTAATAATGGAAAAGAACGGCCGCTCGCTCTCGTGGATGTAGGCACATTGCCGAACTACGTAAATCTCTGTGTGTTATTTTCTCCTGCTTTCTTAATTATTTGATTCCTTACTATTCACCATAATTGCTGCACGATCACAACAGATAGAATTCATGATCCTTCTAAGCAGACTAGCTTGGAATGCATTCTTTGCAAGCGTCACCCTGAATTCCACTTTCACCTCTCCTT